AAAAAAAAGAATTAAGAACAAAGGAAGGAAACCACCAAAGGGGGGGGGGCGGGAAAGGTCTCCAATGATGGAAAATATGGAAAGATATTAACAAATGACTGCTAACCAGAGGCAAAATTATTCAACTATCATTTCTCCTTCACCCTCCAGAGGAATCATTTCCCTTGAAAAGGTAGAAGACATCAACAGGACAAGAATGAATGCTTCTTCCTCACTCCTCATCTTCCTTCCATACGAAGGAATCTTCACTAGCACAGCATCCCTCACTTCACTCTGCTCTCTCACTTATTTCACCCCATAGAAGAGGGTGGACATTTATTGATCTTTTCAGTCTTTTTGGTGACTTTGTGAAAATGAAAATAAATTAGACATGGTAGCCCTTTCTTTTTTCCTTTTTCTCTTCGTAGTAAGGGTGCCTTTGGGATATACCTAGTCTTCCAAGTATTTTAAGAGATACATTCTTCCCCTACAGGGTAACATTTCTTAATTCTAGGGATTATTTTTAAAAGCCTACTTGCCTATGCCTATAAACCTCATTATTGAGTATCAGCTTTATCAGTATAAATGTCACTGGACCCATCTGCCTATTCTTTTGCTTATTTTTTCATTTTGTTCAGAACTTTGGTGGGGAAAAGGGGCTATTTATTGAGCCCAAAAGCCCACACAGTTGTAGAGATCCCAATTACTTTAACTGAGCTTAAGACTCCAGCCCAAATGGATTACATTCCAGATTACTGAAATAATATGCAGATGTGAACAACTGCTGGTTATAATTTCAAAATCAAAATGAGTAGGAGAGAAGTCATAACACTGAAGATATCAAATATCTTCTAGTTTCTAAAAATGAAAAAGATAGATATCAGAAAACCAAAAGCTCGAAGTTATTCCTTGAGAAAATTCTAGAACAGGCCATTGAGCAGAAAACAGATAAAATTTTTAGCAACATGGAAATACTGTACCATATGTATAGTCTTCCATTATTATAATGGAAGACAAATGTGAGCGACATGGACTTCATTGAGGTGTTTGACCAACAGTCTTGTAAGGTGAACAAGACAGAGAATGTAGGTCAGGTAAATGTAAAGTTAGGGAAATTCTCTGCTATATAATGAATACTGATCCATGGAGGTTTGGTACCCTATTGAGGTGGTAGACCTCATGGCTCTATTCTTTGATCTGTATATAATCCGTCACTGTGTAAAGATTTAAAAGGCATGTTTTCTTTTCTTTTTTATGTCTTTATTGGAGTATAATTGCTTTACAATGTGTGTTAGTTTCTGCTGTATAACAAAGTGAATCAGCTATACGTAAACATATATCCCCATATCCCCTCCCTCTTGCACCTCCCCCTCCCACCCTCCCTATCCCACCCCTCTAGGTGGACACAAAGCACCGAGCTCATCTCCCTGTGCTATGAGGCTGCTTCCCACTAGCCATCCATTTTACATTTGGTAGTGTATATATAAAAGGCATGTTTTCTAAACTTACTGATGCTGGCTGGGAGAGACACTGATATATGGGATGACAAAAAGCAGAAAGCAAAATTATTTCAAAATTATGGAAGGAACCGTACACAAACCTAGAAAAGGATTTCTTCTAAATCTAAATCCTAAGTTAAATGAATGTCTTCTTGTTGCATTCACTTAATTATCCTAAGAACTACTTACAGGCTTTTTATCATATATTTGAAACTGACTTTAACCTATCAATGTAACATGGCACTTTTTCTCTGCACCAGATATCATTAAATTCATTTTAAAAGATCAAGATGTAACTACATTTACCTAGTAAATAAATACAGAGAATAGGCCATACTGGACATGTTCCGTCCGTATCGAACAACCTCGTTCTCCTGATCCTCCCACTTCTCAATCTCACAGTTGGCATCAGAGGTGAGCAAACCCAGCTTGAGTCCAAGCTTTGCTATCTTGGCTTGCTCCTACAAAACATACATTTTAATCACAACAATGTAGTCATTGATTACATAAAAGGAAGATTAAAAGTAAGACTACTGCAAAGAAAAAGGTCTTGCCTCAGAGTCAGGCTTGTCTGGCTTTAATGATTTCAGGTTTGCGTTATTCTTCTGTGACAAGAAAAAGATTAGGGCATCTTAAAAATAGGTACAGTTAATTGTGAAGAAATGCAATAGTCATAGAAAGCATAACAAAGTACCTGTAATAAAATTTTAATATACAAATTTTCAGTACATACTGAAACTATATTAAACTGTTTAAGTAAAATCAAACAACTACAGTTGACCCTTGAACAACGTGGGGCTTAAGGGCATTGACTCTCCGCCCGCAGCCGAAAATCTAAGTATGACTTACAGTTAGCCCTCCGTATCCGCAGTTCCCCTGTGTCTGTGGTTCTGCATCTGCGGATTCAACCAACCCCGGATGGTGTAGCACTGTAGTATGTACTACTGAAAAAAACGCACAAAAAAGTGGACCCCAAAGTTCAAACCCATGCTGTTCAAGGGTCAACTGTAATTGCAAATACTCTAACATGTGCGTCCAGCTTTGAAGAAGTAGTTAGTTAGAAGTCTGGAGTTAGGAGAAGCAGATCTGTGTCCCAGAAACACTTAAAGACTTCTGCAGTCTTCTCATAGTCCAATTATTACACCCCCAAACCTCCCTGGCCCCTCTGTTAAATTATTCTTAGGAAATGATGTAATAAATTTAATCACTATATGTAGCTTTCAATATATTCCTAATGTTATGACTCTGGAATTCAATTCCTTTAACAAGTTTGCCTTTTTGAGGGCTAAATTTCAGCACCCTAGTTTCACTGACATCCAGATTCCTAATCCTATATGCCAGGTTATATAGGAGATTATACTTAGAATTTAGGATTTAATATTTGAACCAGCGTGTTTGATGGCTCCTATATTTGAAACAGCAAGTTTGTTTCTACGTAGGCTATTTAGAACTCAGAATATATTTCCCCTAGGGGAGAAGAAAACTTTGTACACTGGTTAGGTTACCAGGCTGGCCCACAGATGCTTACTTACATGTAGAAACCACTACCAATAGCAATGTTTCTTTGAAAAGTATATCTAGAAGTTCTCTGGAGATGGCAGCCCAAGTTGGGCGGCATTCCTCTCATTC